GAGTGCAGTGGTGCAGTCTCAGCTCACTGCAACCTCTGCCTCCCACCTCAAGCAATTCTCCTGCCTCCTGAGTAGCTGGGATTATAGGCACCTGCCACCACTCCCAGCTAAGTTTTGTGTTTCTAGTAAAGATGGGTTTCACCATGTTGGTCAGGCTGTTCTCAAATTCCTGACCTCAAGTGATCCACCCACCTTGCCTCAGCCTCCAAAAGTGCTGAGATTACAGGTGTGAGCTACTGCCTCAGATTTCTCTTAATGTCTTGATTTTGCAAAGGCAGTTTCACATGTAAAATTTTCTAGTGCCAGATTATTGGAACCTCAGTTATACATTTGTTTTTTGTTTCATTTTGTTTTTCTTTTTGCTCCCCCGGCCACTATATATTTGTTTTTATACACACACTTATAAATTTTTTAAATCATTTATATGAAATCCTCTCCACTGAAAAACATCACTATTGCTATGTAAATCAATCCAACATATGATAGAGTTAAACCTAGAAATTAATAAATTTGTAAGATCAGAACTCTATACATATTTTACATATGCTAACGTGGTTTTACTTGGCTTAATCTTTTGATTATTTACCTGTAATTAAGATTTAGTTATTCAGTTTGTCCTTTTGCTATCTTCTTCTGAGAGAATGGCTTTTTATTTACAGTTTATTTTATATATCACAATAAAGTTCATGAGCAAGTTTAAGGGAAGACATTGTTTTCTTAATTGATTAAAGCATATTGTGGATATTTTAAGGTATATTGTTTTAGTAGGTGCAGTCAGAAAGATAATTGGGGCTAGAAGGGTGACATATATGTGGACTTATAGATCATAGTTAGGATTTTGGTTTTTAAAAATGTAAAATGGGTAGGTTTGGATTAAAGTGACATGATATTATTTTTCTAATAAGATGATTTAAATTGCTACATTGAGAATAGCCTGAAGAATTAAGATTGCAAACAGGAAGCATTCTTAGAAGGTTTTGCACTAACCCAGCAAAAAGATGACAGTGGCTTAGACCAGAGTGACAATCGTGTAAGCAGTTGGATTCTGAAAAGATATTGAAGATAGAGCCAACAAAATTTCCCAACAAGGTAAGACAGAAAGGAAGATTCAATAACAACATTCACATTTTTAGCCTGAGTAGAAAAATAATGAAGTTTCTATTAACTGATTCTGGGAAATACTTGAGAAGAATAGATTGAGTGGGAATATCAGCTGCTCAGTTTTGGATATGATAAGTTAGAGATGCTGTTAGACATCTAAGTGAAGATGCCAAATTGCCGTTTTAAATATGGTCTGCATTTCATATTAGAGCTGTGGACTGTAGCTATAAGTCTGAGACTCATCCTTATAGAGAGGTATTTACCACTGTAAGACTGGTTATCAAGAGGAAAAGTGGATACGTGTAGTTAGATAAAGAAGACATCCAAGGAGTGTAAGCTGGACCACTTTGGTATTTTGAAGTTGGGAAGATGAAGCAGCCAGAGATGGAGAAAGTGGGAGAAGAGGAACAAGTTAAGAAATTACTTGAAGGAGAGAATTATCAAGAATATGAAATGATCACTAGACTTAGCAGGTAAGAAATCAGCATGTTGACCTTCATTAAGAGCAGTTTCAGTGGAGTGATAAGGGCTAAAGGACTGATTAGAGTGGATTCAAAAGAATGGAAACAGCAAGTGCAAACACCTTTGAAAGAGTTTGGCTGAAAAGGGAAGAAAGGAAAAAATACCTAGATCTGTGAGGAGAGATAGAAGAAACAGAATACACGAAGGATATGTGGGAAACTGTTCACTTGGCTTCTTCTGAATGCAGGTCTGCCACTTTACTATGTAATGCCGTGTGGCTCTGAACCATTTGCCTGTAGTTTACCAAGATATCGATCAGTGTTCTGTGACTTAGCGCCTTGATTTTGAATTGAAGATTTTTAGATTTGGAAGGTACATTATAAATCTTTTGGTAAAACTACTTTCCCTTATAAATAAAGGAGGATAATTCTGGAGGATAACTACCTTTCTTCATTCCACATTGTAGCAGATCTCTAGTCTAGACTGTTAATCTCATGTGCTGATATACCATGCCTCTTCACAGTGTTCTATAACGCTGTTCTAGCTTGGGTTTTCTTTGCATGGACTTCAACAATTTTTTTTAAATTTTCATGTTAGCTGAAGATTCAAAAGAGTTTGAATTTTAGACATTAGCTAAAGTTCAACCAATATCTGCTATTTTTGTGTTGTACTAGCTAGCCATTGAGGATGCAAAGATGAACAAGACATATTTCTTGTCTTGGGGAGCTCACAAGGGAAAAAAATAATACAATGACAAGAAATAAAACATAGCTGGTAAAACTATTCTGTAATGTATAACTTATATAAAGTGTCTTAAGATTTTGGTACATATTCAGGATGGATGTATGAAAGGATGAATGGATAAAAGTGGATGGATGAATGGACAGATGGATGGGTGAATGAGAAGATAGATGAGTGAACAGATGGAGGAGTGGCTCAGTGGATGGATAGATGAAACGATGAGTGGACAGATGAATGAGTGGACAGATAGATGGATGGGTGGACAGATGGATGAATATCAATCTCATTTAAAATTCTCATTACAACATTTTGAGGGAGCCATTTCTTTTCTCATTTTACAGAGGGAAAAACTGAGTCTTATGATCATAAAATGACTTAACAAGGTCTCATGGCTTAGGAGAGGTTGAGGCCAGATTTATACTCAGGTGAGCTAAGCCCTTAGCTGGCTTGCTGCTCAGTGTGGGGTCTCCCCCACATAGATACGCATATGCTGAGGACAGGCACACTGTGTGGGCATCTCCGAAGCACCTATTGACTTTCCTCTTGGGGAGGAGGCCTCTGGGAAGATCTCTTGGCTTCAATATAATGTTTTCAGCTACATTTGGCCCCAGAGGAGTGAGATGGTGGAGCCACGCACCCACAGTCCTTCACACCACACTGGCAGCTGGTGGCAGCACCATCCATGGGGAAAGCAGTGTGGGCAGAAGGGCAGCTGGCATGATTCACTGGAGATGAGGGGAGCCCTTTCCAGCTAGCCCCATGGTTCCCAGGGCCTGTGCTCCAGACAAGGGCAGTGGTGCAGGGGCCAGCCCTGCAGATGCACATATACCTGTGAATCTAAAGTAAAATTTAAAAAAGAGCAACACAGTGCCACTTAAGACAGAGTAAAAATATGAAATACTTAGGTGTAAATTTGGCAAAAGATGCAAAATATTTCTAAACTGAAAACTACAGAACACTGTCGAGAAATTTTAAAAGACCTAAACAAATGGAGTAATATGAGCACACTGTGTTCATGAGTCAGAAGTGTCAATATTATTAATATGTCACTTCTCCCCAAATTGTTCAGTAGGCTCAGTGCACATTTTAAAATCTGTGAAGGATATTGTGTACAAATTGACAAATAATTCTATTATTTATTAAAAATTAAAGTACCTAGATTTGCTAAAAAAAAAAAATCTGAAGAAAGATCAAATTTGAAAGCCTTTTACTATGTGATTTCAAAATGTATAACTGCAGTATTCAAGACACTGAAATAAAAAATAAACATGCACCAATAGAACAGAGTCAGGAATACCCACTTGTATAAGACCAGTGATTTTTGGCAAAGCTGCAAAGGCAATCAGTGATAGATTGATAGTCTTTTCAACAATTGATAATAGAGGCTTTATATGTCCCTGCTCAAAGAAAATGAACTATCCACACCCATACTGTATACATTCATTTAATTGTATGATCCATTTTGAGTTAACTTTTGTATACATCCATCCATCTAACCACCCGTCCGCTCATCCATCTACCCATCTGTTCATCCATCCACTGATTCATCTGTCCTCTCACCTTTTCATCTATCCATTCACTCATACATACATCCACTCATCCATCCATCCATCCATTCATCCATCTACTCATCCTTTCATCCATGCATCTTTTCATGCATTTGTCCACTCACCCGTCCATCTACTCATTCATCTGTCTACTAATCTATCCATTCTACTGATGCATCTGTTCACCCATTCATCCCTCCACTCATTTATTCATTCATCCATCATCCATCTCTTTATTCATCTATCTGTTCATTTACCTCTCCACTCATCTGTCTGTTCACCTGTCTTCCTATAAGTTTCCTTTCTTCGCCATTTACAGCATGGGCTTTCTCACTCATCTCTATCTTCCAGAGACTTTTCTAGCATCTGACCCCAACCTTCCTAGTACAGCTCCCTTCTCTGTCCCCCATTGCTGACACACTCAAGCCCAAACTTCAAACTTAGCTGGATATTCACCTTCTACACTGGACCCAGCAGAGGCCTCAGGGCTCAGGTGGTAGAAGAGGAAAAAGGAGAGGGTAGGGCAGCCACCACCCCACCCCCCAGCCAGCCCTTACTTTCCACTCCAGGCTAGAGATGGTGGAGCAGGCAGCCTGCCCTGCAGGTAATTAATCAATAAACCAATCACTGAAGTAATATTTATTTGGCTCTCACTTGATGCCAGGCACTGTGGCCACCACTGGGGAGAAGACAGTGAACAAAACAGAATCCCTACCCTTGTGCAGGTGGAGTTCTAGCTCAGGAGAGAGAGAACAAACAAGCTGAGTGAGGAATTCGAGCATAAGGTGTCATGGAGAAAAACGGGGGGAGGGGTTGCACTGTTAGGTGGGGTCACTAGTTTCACTGAGAAAGACCTGAAGAAGGGATGGAGGAGCATGGTGGGGACAGCAGCAGGCAGAGGGAACAGCATGTGCAAAGGCCCTGAGATGGGACTCCCTGGTGGGGAGCTCCAGGGAAAGCCTCTGTGGCTGAGCAGAGGGAGTAAAGGCAAGAGGGGTGGAGTTTGCGGGGGTTGGGGGGCGCTCAAGGCCTTGGGGAGCCTTTGCTTTTGTTTCTGGAGAGGGTGGATCCATGGAAAAGTTTGACAGAGGGTGAGTGGAGCCGATTCAGGTGGGAAAAGGCAGAGAAGAGGCTCTGGAGCCCCGGCTCCCCTGCAGGCCCTCAGGGTGGCTGTGTGCACTTGCTCTCTTCGATGGTCCCTGGAATGCATCTGCCTCCCCCACTGACTGGAGGTGCCAAAGGACAGAGGCTGTGTCTGCACCCCCAGCACTCGGCACTTGGTAGGGGCTTGGCTGTGGAAGGCAATGGGAAACATTTGCTGAGATGAAGGTGGGGAGAAACAGATGCGAACAAGAGAATCGGTGAGCCAAGAATGAATGTGCCAGTGAGTGACTGAGGCCTGGCCGGGGCTCCCTCCTTCTCTTCCCAGGCCTCTGGGTGCCCCACTCCGCACCTGTTAAACTGTATAATCCTCCCCACCCAGAGCTCCGAGGCCCTGGCAGTCTCAAGCTGCCGCCCCCAGCCTCTACAGGCCTTGGGTGACAGCGCTGGGGGTCTCCGCTCCAGCTGGGGGTCAGGAAGTCCTTCCATCCACTCCAGCAGCTGCAACCAGACACCTGGTCCCTGAGGCTAGGGAAGGCAGTGGAAAGGACTCCAAGGGGACCCCACCCTTGTCTAGAGGTGCTGGGCTGCTCCCCCACCCCCACCCCCCACCACTCCCTCCTCAGTGCCATTGCAGCCATTCTCAGGAACTGCTGAGCCTCAGTAATGACAGCTTCTCCCTCCCTGGAGGCCTCATCTTGGCCTGGGGACCAGGAGGACAATTAGCATTAGCATCTCCATTTCACAGATAGGGAAGTGGAGGGCCCCCCTCCCCCACCCTGCTGGTCCCAAGCCCCTTTCAGCAACCTTCTCAGTCCACCTCCCCCTCCTCAGCTGCTGTTTCAGTCCCACCTGTAGCTGTGAATACAAAATCATGTTTCAAAAGTTAGCTTGAAATGTAACATTTTCAATGTAAAATAGAAACAATACTGTCTTGCTCTATTTTGCCTCAGCCCAGGATCAGGCTATGCTGGGGGGCCGAGCCCTCCCCAGAGCACCCAGGGGAAAGGGCCCCTACCCCACTGCTGTGGAAACCTTCACTTCAGAATTCCTCAAGTTTAGCCCAACCTCCATGAAAGAGATGCAGGGACCTAGCAGCCTGGCAGGGGCTGATTTACCCAGGGACCTGCTGGGGACTCCCTGTTGGGGTGAGGTAAACAAAAAGGCTTTGCTGCAGAGGAAGTAGTTGAACCAGGCCAGGAAGTGGGAGACAGGAGGCTTTTCAGCTCTGAACAGAGCCAAGGTGTTGCGAAGCATAGGCCTGGAAGCAGGAACCTGGCTGGATGAGCATGGGGCAGGATCACAGGGCAGCAGCAGGTCACAGAGGTGCCCCAGGTGAGCTGGGGTCTCATCAGGAGCACTGTGGGGAGCTGAGGCAGGGTGGTCAATTTCGTCCTGGCCCCAGTGGACCTGAGTGTGGTCCTTCCTTCCCAGTGCAGCCTCTGCTCACAGCCAGGCCCCTTTCTACCCAGCAAGGAGAAAGGGTCTCAATGTTTAGGGGAATTTCCCCAAGGTGTCCCCTTCCTGGAAGGGCTGTTGAGGCCCCAGTATCTGCCTGTCCAGCAAAGGCTGAAATTCTCGCACTGGTGGCTCATTGTGGGCTGGAAGGACCACAAGAAGCGTTGTGGGGCAGAAGGCAGCACACGCGAGGGGCCCTCTCCTCAAAACCAGAAGAAAGGGACAGTCCCACCCTGCCAGTCAGCACCACACGCCTGTGGGCACGTGAACATGCACACATACATGCATGCATATATGCACACGCACACATGCATGCACACACCACACACATATGCACACCGACACACACATGCATGCATTTATGCACGCATGCACATATGCACACACACGTGCATGCATGCATGCACGCACATATGCACACACATACATGCATGCACATATGCACACACTCACACTCGTACATGCATGCACGTATACACACATACACATGCATGCATGCACACACATGCACACAGACACACTCGCCCATGGATGCACGCACACATGCACACATGCAGGCATGCACACATGTATACACACACTGACACACACACGTGCATGCTTGCGCACACTTCAGCTTGGAAAATGTCTGTGGCTCTCCCTGCACACTCTCATTATAAAATAATTGAGCGCTTGTAACGCTGTTTCTCCTTGAGGATCTCAATTAAGACATCACTTCCTGCTCTCCCTCCCCTGAAGGCCGTCTCTGATTCCCCTCCCCTGGCACGCAGGGCAGGCAGTGCTAACAATAGTGTTCCAGCCACACGCCCTCTCTGCCACACCTTCCTCCTCCCCACGCTGACCCCACCCAGAGGTCAGGAACCCCTATCCCTTCCTGAGTGACCTGGAACAAGTGACTTCATCTAGGTAATGGGGAGAAGAATGGCATCTGTCTCATCAGGTCCTCATGAGGAACAAAGAAACTCAGGTCAGGCAGGGTCAGGCCCTCCACGGCCTGGTACGTGTTCCAGGTGGGACAGCTCGCTTCAGGGTGTGGCTCAGCCCAGATTGTGAGGCCCCTGCCAAGCTTCCCGCCAGCCTGGAATGCCAGGGCTAAGAGCTTCTAATTCTAATTCTAATGCGGAGAGTCTGATGTTGAGTTTCACAAGGATTCTGACTCCTGGCTGCTCAGATCCCAGCAGATGCAAGTCCCCTCTTTGCTCCCCACACCTGGCTGAAGCCCCCATGGTTGCCAGGACACAGGCAGTGCCCCCACACCCGCAGGCCTTCCTGCTGCCTCTGAGGGCCTCACGCACAGCCAAGGGACTTCTGGGAGACTGGAGTCAGACCTGAGCCTGCAGGCTTAGCATAGCAGGGAGAATCGACAACCTCCCTCTGCCACCTCCCACCTCCCACCTCCCTCCCTCTCCCCCAGCCTCAAGGGCTTGCTAGCTTCCCCCCCACCTCGGGACCCTTGAACCTGGCATCCACTGCCCGGGACCTTCAGCCTTTGTCCTCCACTTGGCAGGCTCCTTCTCACCACCCGGCCTCCTGGAAGAGGCCTCCCCAAACCCTCAGACAACAGCAGCCACCCCACACCTGTCTCCTGATGCCTGCTTCATCTCCTGCACAGCCCTTTCCTTTCAGAAATTGTCCCACTGATTGCTTTCTGTGTTCACTGTCGCCTCCTCTACTGGAGTCTCTCTCCCTGCTGTGTTCCAGTGCCTGGCATGCAGTGAGCACTCACTAAATATCCGTTAGTGAATGAATGAATTCTGTAACCAGGAGAGCCTAAGGTCAGGGCTCTCCCACACCAGGTTTGATGCTTTGTTAGTGCAACAAACTTTTGTTGATTGACTGACTGATGGGGCACAGCCCCTCCATAAGGGTAGTTCACATACACTAGGGGAGACAGTCAGAAATCAGCAATGCAACCCCTTCTTGGCAAAGATGACATAGGCGCCTGGATTACTGGCCCTGCAGCCCACACAGTGCTCCACTGGCCATCACTACCTGCCTCAGAGATGGGTGGGTCCAGCTGCCACTTACACCTGGATTTCCTTTGTCCTCCCCAGCTCTGCAATGGTCAGCTGCAGCCCTGCCCATGCTCACTGGAACTTGACACCTTGACCTTGGATGGGGCCTCTGAGGCCTGTGGTGGGGGGCGTTGGTGAAGGGGCAGAAGGTCTGCCAAGAAGGGTAGGTCGTGAATGGAGCCAGAGTGGGGGCTGGGAGGGAGGGACAGGGCTAATGAGCTGCTAATGGCCCTGCAGCTGGGTTGTGGTGACCCCTGGCCTCCCTAGGGGCTGGGAACAGTGCTAATGGGGCTGCTCCTCCCACAGCAGGCCCTTCCGTTCTGTTCCAGGTCAGCCAGGCTGTTAAGGGGTAAGTGGCAGGAGAGAGGGAAGAGTGATCAGCCCCCTCCATGATCCCCACCACCTTGGCCCTCACGGCAGCTCAGGGAGCCCAGAAAGCAGCCTAGATTGTGGGGAGGACATAGGCACTCCATCCCCTCATTACCGGTGGGGAGCTGAGGCTGGTGCGTTAATCAGGTCCCATTCACCTTTTCCTCTCTTGTTCCCATGTTCATGCTTCACCTCTCCTCTCTGGATTCAAGTCCCCAGGTACAGGCCCCAGCTGACAAAGAAGGCCAGGGAGGGCACAGTAGGCACAGTGCCCAGGCCCCACACAACTTCCAGGTCCACAGTGGAAGCAGTGAGAGGAGACAAGATAGATTCAAGGCTTTGAAAGCCAGCTGAGTCTGAAGTTTGGGTTTGGGTCTGTGAGCAATGGGAAGTGAAGAGAGGGCTTGTGATGGGAAGGTTGGGATCAGAAGCTAGAAAAATCTCCAGAGAGAAGAGATGATTGCAGAGGCTGATGTAGCAAATAATGAAGAATGGAAACAGAGGGAATGTGAGTAGATGGATGAATGGGCAGGTGGGTGAGTATATGCGCAGGCAGACAGACAACCGAATGGGGTGAGCAGAGGAGCTAAGAGGGATGTACGGATGGATGGATGGATGGATGGATGGACGGACAGATGGAAGGATGGAGGGATGGATGGATGTACAGATGGATGGATGGACGGACAGACACAGATGGACGGACGGATGGATGTGCGTATGTATGTATGTATGGACAGATGGATGGATGGATGTACGGATGTATGGATGTATGGATGTATGGATGTATGTATGGATGGATGGATGGATAGATGGATGAATGATGGCTGGGTGGATTGGTGAGAGGGTGCATGGATGCGTGGATGGGCAGATGCATGCTGGGTGGATGAATGAATGGAATGCACAGATCGATGAATGGATCAGTGAATGGGTGGGTGGGTAGGATGAATGGATGGATGTGTGAGTGGACAGACAGACAAATGGGTAAGTGGATGGGTGGGTGGGTAGATGAATGAATTGATGGATGAATAAATGAGTGGGTGAATGAATGGGTGGGAGAATTGGTGAAAGAGTTGGTGGATTTTGAATGGGTAGATGCATGGGTGGGTGGATGGATAGACGAATGGATGCATGCATGAGTGGGTAAAGATGTGTGGATGGATGGGTGTATGGAGAGATGGATGGGTGGGTGAGTGGATGGATGAGTTAAGTGGGTGGGTCAGTGAATAAATGGAGGGTGGCTGAATAGAGGGATGGATGGAGGGATAGATGGATGGATGGGTGAGTGGTTGGCTAGGTGAGTGAATGGAGTTAGAGGGATAGATGGATGGACAGGGAATGAATGGGTGAATGGATGACTAACGAATTATGTTTCTCTCTATTCCAATGAAGTCATAAAGTATATGTGTTAGTGTTTTTTTTATGGAGAAAGGGACTCATATAGGCCAAAGTGCCCTGGGTGCTTGAAAGTCATAGTGTGGCCCTGGGGAAGGCCTAGCAGCCCTGCCATGATGACCTGCCTTGTCCTCCTCCCTCCCTCCAGCCTGCCTTGGCCTCCAGGAGGTCTCAGTTTCCCCACCTCCAGGCTTTTGCCCAGGCTGTCTCTTCTGCCTTGAATACTCTTGCCAAAACTCTTCTCCAGGAAGCCCTCTGGAGCTGGCTTAGGGCCTGGTCGGGGCTCCCGCAGAGGCTTGGTCTTCCGTTTGAAACAGCCTCCAGACTGGGATGGCGGCAGGGAGGAAAGCAGTGGGGTCGCCAGTCCCAGGGGCTGTATCATGGGAAGGGAGAGCTGGAGCCTCTTCAGGGGTGTCTGGAGCCAAGCGGGGGATGTGGCTACTGCCAAGGAGGTCATCCAAGGAGAGACGTGCCCCCTTCCCCCACCACCACCAAATGCAGAAGCCTGAGAGCAAAGGATGCTGGGAAGTGACCTGAGGGGTCAGAGCAGGGGCCCACCTGGCAGGCTCAGATGGGGGAAGCACAGCTTGGCCTGCAGCAGCCGGTCCCAGGGGCCTGCCCAAGCCCCGACCCACCACGCATCCTAGCAGGGGCCTGGTCTACATCAGTTGCTCAAAAGCAGACGTTGCACAGTGAATGGATGCAGGGTGGGAGATCAGCCAGGGGGCTGGGGCCCCAGGTGGGAAGAAGGAAGGGGGATGGACACTGGGTACATCCGAGCTGAGACCTCAGGGGCCCTGAATGCCAGCTTGGGTTTGGCTGAAACCTGAGGGCTGGCATGTCCCGAAACATTCTGTCTTACCATCAAGGCCCCTGACTGCTCTTGTTTCTGTCCTGAGCTAGGCAGCCCAGTGTTCATTTCTCTCATTCTCCAGACAAGAAAACAGGCACAGAGGTGTGGAGGACCTTGACCAAGTGACAAAGTGACCTGCCCGAGACTTTAATGAAGGGCAGCCCAGCCCAGCAAGGCCCAACCACCCCCGACTTTCCAGAGGTGGAGAGATTGCTGCAAACTGCCAGCGATGGGTGATAACCAGGAGCACCTTGTCAAGACTGTTCGGTGACCTTTCAGTCCTGCCTTGTTGGGTGGCAACCTGGCTTCAATCAACAATGTTTTTCTCCAGGCTGAAGATAAAGAAGCAGAAACCTGGCCCAGTGCAGTGGCTCACGCCTGTAATCCCAGCACTTGGGGAGGCCGAGGCAGGCAGATCATCTCTACTAAAAATACAAAAATCAGCCAGGCGTGGTGGCGCACACCTGTAGTCCCAGCTACTCAGAAGGCTGAGGCGGGAGAATGGCTTGAACCTGAGAGGCAGAGGTTGCAGTGAGCCGAGATCACACTATTGCACTGCAGCCTGGGCAACAAGAATGAAATTCCATCTCAAAAAAAAAAAAAAAAAAGAAGCAGAAATCTGCGATGACACAGGTGCCATCTGTGCACTGTCCACATCCTCCTGCCAGGGCCACGCACCCAGGTCCTCGCAGGACTCAAGCGAGAGGGTGAAGGAGGAGAGGCAAGTGGGGAGGAATTGCAGGCCGAAGGGGTGGACGCTCCTGACTCTAGGTCTCAATTCCTTAAGAAAGGCTGGAAATCGGGACTTTTTATGGAAACAAATTTCAGATTTGAAAATGCTGGCCCCTAGTTGGCATGTTTAAAGTAGGTAGAATGAATCCATGGAAGCCAGGCTGAGTGTCTGCAGTAGGGGCCAGACCTATGAGCTCTGCCGGCTCTGAAGCAACTTTCTCGAGTGCTAAGCACCCGCCGACCACAGGGCCTTTGCACTGCTGCTCCCCGCCCGGAAAGCTCTTCCTGCTGGTGTCTCGTGGCTCACTCCCACACTGTCTTCAGGCATCTGCTCAAATGCCGTCTCCTCCAAGAGGCCTTCCCTGACCTTTTCCTTCCCATTTTGTGGGTTGATTTTTCTTCCCAGTGCTCACTTCCACCTGACATCTCAGTGTCATCCAGCTCCCAATGAGACCATCAGCTCCGTCATGAGGGCAGGGTCCCTGGCTTACGCCTCCCTGGATACATGGGCCTGTTGTCCAGCTCAGAGCAGACACTCAGTCAGCATTTAATGAATCTGTGGTTTAGCACTTCAGGACCCCTGGGGCATGGCCACGGGGACACAGGGCGCCCAGGACCACACGTGTCACAGACATGATGTCTGAAAGAGGGGCCAGCTGAGCGGGTTTCCACCCCTTCCCACCCCACAGACTTGCTGAGAACTTTGGGAAGGCCTGACCCCACTGGAGGCCTCGATTTCCCCACCTGTGCAATGAAGGGGTGATACATGCCACAGTCTTGGGGGCACATGTGGGGTCCCAAGGTGGTCATCATTGCCAGCTGCCTCAGCCAAGCAGAGGGACAGATGGATTGACCAGCTCCGTATTGATCACATGGTCACACCTGCTCTGGAGGGGGCAGGAGGGGTGGGAAGCGGAGTGGAGCCAGGGCCCCTAGAGGAATGAAGAGAAAATGCCACCCCCCCATCAATGCCTGGGGCCGGTGGGGGGAGGGTGCGTGATAGTCCATCTGAGGGTTTCTTTCCCTGTCACCTAGGGGTTCAGAGAGGCTCAGGTGAGCTTCAGGGGAGCCAGGCAGGGGCAAGTTCTGAACATGGCAAAGAGCCCTCCCCAGCACACCCTGAGGAGGCCATCCCAGGGCTTCCGTGCCTCTAAGTCTTGGAGCAGCTGAGGCCGGGGGGGCTGAGGCAGAGGTCGGGGGTGGGGGAAGGTCCCTGCCCACCCAAGCCACGTTTCTTAGATGCCACTCACCGAGGCTGGAAGTGTATGCCAGGCTGGCATTCTGCTGCAGAGCCCACTTGAGACTTGTTTTCACACAAAAGCCCCCACGTCCTGCCCTGGATCTGCCAGGAAAGCCAGTGCCCAGGAGATGAGATGCTGAGAATGTGGCCAGCTCTCTCCAGGAGCGATAGCCCCGTGTGGGACATGCAGCCACAGCACAAAGACCTAGGACCTAGGGGTCTTGGGATGGGAGCAGGGCTGAGGCTAAATCCCAGTTCCACTGCAACTTATGGGGCAAAACTCTTTTCCTCTGAGGACCTCGATTTCCCCATCTGGAACCTGTCCCTCAGAGTCCTGGAGCTCCTGGGTTTTAGGGAGGGAGGGGCAGAAAACAACCTTGGAGTGGACTGATAGGTCAGGAGCCCAGAGGGAAGACACAGACAGGACGAGACCAGGAGGACTGTTGTCAAGGCCTTGGCCGACAGGTAGACAAGCCCTTAAACACAGGGACTGCAACTCAGCCATTACGCTGCTGGGTCCCTGCCCCACAGCATCGGAACAGGTGCTCAGACAAAGCTTGTACATGAATGCGGATAACAACGCTGTTCACAGCAGCCAAGAGGTGGAGACAGCCCTGAGCCCGTCCACAGATGAATGAACACGCAAGTGTGTCTGCACAATGAACCCGCTCATCCACGGCATGAAGAGCGTGGCGTTCCGGCACTGGTACAGCATGCAAAGACCTGGAGGACACAGAAGGACAGATGCTTAGGGTTCCATTCACATGAAATGCCCAGAAGTGGCAAACCCATACAGACCGAAAGCAGATCAGAGGCTCCTGCGGGCTCAGGGGAGGGTGCGTGGGGAGTGACCGCTCCGTGTTTTCACGGGGTCTTCTTCTGGAGCAATGGGAACGTTCTGGAACTAGAGTGGCGATGATTGCACAACATCGTGAGTGGAATGCCACTTAATCTGTACGCTTTAAGAGGACAATTTGCCGGGCGCGGTGGCTCAAGCCTGTAATCCCAGCACTTGGGAGGCTGAGGTGGGTGGATCACGAGGTCAAGAGATCAAGAGATCGAGACTGTCCTGGTCAACATGGTAAAACCCTGTCTCTACTAAAACTACAAAAAATTAGCTGGGCATGGTGGCGCTTGCCTGTAATCCCAGCTACTGAGGAGACTGAGGCAGGAGAATTGCCTGCACCCAGAGGCAGAGGTTGCAGTGAGCCAAGATTGAGCCATTGCACTCCAGGCTGAGTAACAAGAGCGAAACTCCGTCTCAAAAAAAAAAAAAAAAAGGAGGGCAATTTTACCTTATGTGAATTTTACCTCAGTAAAAACGGGGGAACCCTCCACCAGGGACACAGCAGCCCACGCAGAGACATGGCAGAGAGTCGGGGCTCTGGATCTGGCCCTGCCGGGGTTTGGGGGGGAGGAGGACACCCAAGCTGCTGGGGCTGCTGTGAGGGAGGAGCGCAGAGCACGGGGCCCAGGGCAAGGGAAACATTTGCTGTGTTTGTCACCCTCCCCAGACCATGCTTCTGCAGGGCAGCCCAGGTGGCTCAGGCTGGCTGTCCTGTCTGGGGAGGCGCCGGGCCGACCCAGGCCACACCTGGGGTCACAGCCTTCACAGTGGCCAGGAGCTGAGCCAGAGTGGGGAGTCAGGTAGGTGGAATTGGCCCTTCGCCCATGACTAGCTCATGTCTTCTCCCTGGGCCTCACCCACCTCTGAGAAGGGGATAGAGACCAGTCCTCTGGGAAGCTTCTAGTGCCAGAATCTTTCTGCATCTGGAGTCCGCAGGGAAGAGGATCCATCAATCAATCTGTTGATCTACCCACAGGACCAATGGAGGCAGGATGCCATATTGGGTAAGCAGTGGTGAGCAAGCTGACAGATGGGTTCAAATCCCAGCTCCTCCACCTCCCAGCCCTCCACCCTCAGGCCCCAGCTGCCCTAGCCAGGCTTTCTGGGCCTCAGTTTACCCACCTGTAAAATTCAGGTAATAATCACCACTACCCCTTAGGGTATTGTGAAGAGGGAGCAAGTCTGTGGGAACGGTGCCTGGCTTGTGGCGTGGGCTCTGGAGGTGGGGACCGATGTCCTGTGTAATTCTCACTGTTGAGAAGTAGAACAAACTGCTGTCCAGCTAAGGGGAGAAAGGAGCCCTGCCCAGAACCAGCCAGAATGAGGAGAGACTGCATGGGCTCATGCCACCAGCTCTGCCCCCTCCTAAGAACCTGTGCCGAGCTGTCCCCAGAGTGGACACTAGAGGAGAGGCCAGGAGAGGGGGCTCGGGAGAGGACCGAGGAGGTGCCCCCCACTCACTCGCACACTCACAAACTCACTTACACACACTCAGAGTCACACACAGAGGGTGAGAAGGCTGGAAAGTGCCTCAGGCCCTAGTCTCACTAAGTTCTAGGAAAGTCAATTCTCCATCAAGCTTCTCTAAGAAATCTGGGAGACCCCAGGCCCCACAGCCTTCCTTCTTTCTTTTGTTTTGTTTTTTTTTTGAGACAGAGTCTAACTCTGTCACCCAGGCTGGAGTGCAATGGTGTGGTCTCGGCTCACTGCAATCTCCGCCTCCCAGGTTCAGGCAATTCTCTGGCCTCAGCCTCCTGAGTAGCTGGGACTACAGGTGCATGCCACCATACCCAGCTAATTATATTTTTTAGTAGAGATGGGGTTTCACTATGTTGGCCAGGCTGGTCTTGAACTCCTGACCTTGTGATCTGCCCACCTTGGCCTCTAACAGTACTGGGATTATAGCCGTGAGTCACCGCACCCAGCCTCAGGCCCACAGCTTTCTTCATCCATCACAACAGCTCACACAATACAGTGTGTTATTAACTAGGCACTTTTTAAAGCATTTTTCCTCAAAAAAGCTAAATGAGGTAGACATGATCATCCCCAATTTACAGATAAGGCAACGGGGAAGTTAAATGGCTTGCTCAAAGTCACACATCCAGTGAGTGAGAGCTGGGATTCAGACCCAAGCATTCCATCATCATCACCATCATCATCCCTATTCCTAACTGTGATGGCATATCACCTGCTTGAGGGATAATGCCTTGTTCTTTCATCCAGCGACGTGTTCCCTGAGACCAAGCTTTGGTCTTTGCCCTTGGTCTTTGCCCTGAGGGCTCTGTCAGTGCCTCCACCTCCAAATAGGCCAAGGCTAGAGGGAGCATGGCCAGAAGTGCTTGGTGCCCCCGGGCCCTGTGCCTCCTACCCGAGTTCCTCCTCGTCAAATGCCCTCTCCGGAAGAGGTTCCCCTTCTAGGCTGGAACCTGCACTCATGGGTGGGAGGGCCTCGCTCAGCCCACACTTAGTCTGGGCAGCTGTGCCCTCAGAACCAGGCCCTGAGGCTGGGAAAAGAGGACACAGCTGTTGGGCATCTCTGAGGTGCGCCTCAGCTGCCAGGGGTGTGGAGAAAGGTCACTGTGAGCCCTGCCACGGACCCAACTCAGGAGGGTCCTGCCAGCTCCTGCCACTGCCCATGGGGTGGTTCTTTTCCAGCTTGGGCCAGTGTCTGGGGAGCCTTGTCACTGACTTGTTTAGGAGCTGCTAGCTGGCCGCAGCCTGCATCCTGAGGGTGCCCACAGAACTGGTCTGGCTGCCCGAGGGGCAGCATGGGCAGTGGCTGTCCCCCCTCCCTTTCCCCATTCCCAGCCCCTAAAACTTGCTGGCCACAGCTGCAGCAGTAAGGAAGTGCAGGAAGTCCTGAGCAGCCAGCTGAGCCCACCCCCCTGGCCCCCCACACCAACCTTAAGCTGACCCCAGAGGCTGCCTGGTGTAGCGGGTGGGGGGGTGGGGGGGCAGAGGGGCGGAGATTGGGTATTAACAACGGGAAAAGTATGAAGAACATCACTGCCAGTCCCCAGCTCTGAGACAAGGACAGGGGTAGACAGGGGTAGCGACAGGATGAGAGAGAGTTACAGACTGGCAGAGAAGGGGAGAGAGAAAGAGAGAGAGAGAGAGAGAGAGAGAGAATCAGACACTGCAAGACAGAGCAACAGAAAGAGAGAGTTAGAGAGAAATTCCAAGTCAAAAATACACATCACTCATGCAGACAGTCGCCAGCCGATGGCCTCTTAAGGAAAGCTTCCAAGTTTGGGTAGCAGGGTCCAGGTGACAAGAGGGGCGGCCAGACTCAAGGTGGGATGCAGGAACTCAGCTGGGGGTGACAGTGTTCCCAGAAAAGGCCCGGGCAAATGACTCAGAGCATGGGCAGTTTGATATCCCTGAGCTTTTCGGGATGAGTGCAGCTCTCCCCTACCCCAGCAGTCAAGAGAATTCCAGCTTCTAGAAGTCCCTGGACATGCTCTGAGCCCCATACTCGGCCTTCTGGAACCCCCCTGCACCCTCCGTCTTTGCTCTTGTTTCTCTGACCCTCCAAAAGAAAATAAAAGTAAAAAAAAAAAGCCCATTCCCACAGAGTGGCTGGGCCTAGAGGAAGAAGGCAGGAAGAAGCTGAAAGGGAAAAGTCTGTGATTGTGTGCATCTAGGTGTGTGCTTGGCTGCACAGGCTACAGTTGTGTGCATCTGGAATTATGTGGACACGACTGTTTGTGTGGACCTGGGCCCTGTGAACTCATTCTGTACCTGAGTTCAGGGGCCCATGTGCAAATGAGTGCACCTGTGTCCGCAGGTTCCACAGTCAATCAACTAACAAGTAGTTACAAAGCAGCCATTGTGCTAGGCTCTGGGTGCGATCCGGAGCTCTTCAAATGATTCTCCCAGGTCTCCAAGAGCTCACTGTCTAGTAGGGTTGGTATGTCAAGCAACAGAGACCAAAAACATGTCATCGGGAATGCATGCTTTGCACCATTACGCAGCAACACCTTTTCATACAGCCAAATTTAATTTTCTTGGGAGCAAGGGTTTTCTTGTCTACAGAACCTCAGAGCTCCACAGTAAGAGTCCAGGAAAATACTTGTTGCTAAGTTGTGTATACATGTGTTGATGTATAACTGTGTTTGCATCTGACTGAGTGACAGCTACTGTCACGGCAAGCAATGATGACTGTGTGACTGGGCTTATGTGAGCACGTGTGTGCCTGTGAGTGACAGGGTCTTTTGTAATTGTGTGGCTGTGTGCAATTGCTCTATGTGCATGCATGCATGTGACAGTGACTTTTTCTGTGTGGGTGACAGCAACTCTTCCTTGCCCGTGTGTGACAGCCTCTCCGTGTGACCCTGTGCGTAGCTATGTGCCATGGGTCGGTCTCCATGCTTTTGGTCTCCCGTGGATATGTCCCACCCCCTGAGCTCCAGGGTGCAGCAGCAGCCTGCCTCTTCCCTTGTCCCCATGTGGGTGTGTCCAGCAGCTCCTGTCCTTGAGTCCGCCTGGGTGTCCCTGGGTATGCCTGTGGCTGTCTGTGTGGACATATCTCTGTGTCTGCGTGTCACTTTTGCTTTCCCCCCATCTTGGACAACAGCCCCCTTCATCCCCTCCCCTTCTTGGAGACGAAGCCAGCACTGAGGGGCAGGCTCCCATCTCACTGGCTTTCCTTCTGTGTCCCCCACCCTCACCTCTGGACCGGTGGCTCTTTCAATTGCAGCTGTCATCCCCCCAGGCCTTTCTTTCACGCTGGGCAAGGGGCGGCCCCAGATGGAGAAGGGGAACCAGAGACACGTTGCAAGGGGAGGGAAAAAGGTGGGGTACACACACACAGGTCCATTTCTCCCTCTCCTTCCCAGCCAGCAACTCTCCTAATCATCTAGGCTCCATCAAGTGCACCCCCTCCACACACACATTCCCCCCAGCAGCAGCGTTTTTGCAATTAGAGTGTTGCAACCAGACAGCCTTGCTCAACTGGAAGGCGGGTGAAGGGGGGGAACTTCCCTCTCCCCGGACCCATGCAAGCCCACCCCCGCCACCGCACTCATACTGCCCTCCGCAGCTGGAGGCAGCTTTGCAAAGGCTACTCGGCCTCAAAGGCTAGAGGTGGGGGCTGGGGGGGGGGCAGGCCTCCGACGCACCGTAAACAAACCGCGGAGCGGCGGGCGGGGGAGCTCAGGCGGCCAGCAATGGGGCTTGGCCCAGGAATGCGCAGCAGGCTGGCGGGACAGAGGCCGGGCGGGACGTCGAGGGGGTGGCCCGGACGCCATCTCCGCCTGCAAACCCCGGGGCCCACCGACCTCCAAGCAACACCTCCCTTCCCCAGGGCGTCAGTTGCAAGCTCCTGGGCTCGTGACAGGGTCACTGGGGCGCCGGGAAAGGCTGAGGCTGACAGCGGGTACGCCCTGGGCGACCCTGGCCCGCCTGGGAGCTGGCCACGGAGCCCCGCGGCTTTGCATAATCAATCGCGAGGCATTTGCATATTAATGCCCCCTCGCTCCCTCCTCCTTACCTCGGCGTGGCGCGCTGGACCGGGCTGGGCAGCGACGCGGGGGTCTCAGCGCCCAGTGCCGTGGGCGTCCATGGGGGGCCGGTGGGGCCCGGGCCGCCCGCCTCCTGCGCCCGGGTGTGAGTGCGAGTGAACGCGGGGGGGGACGGGGGGCGAGTGTGGCGGCCCCGCGGCTCCTCCGGCAGAGGCGGCGGCCGCTCTGGCTCCTCCCTCCCCCGCCCCGCTCCGGCTGGGGCTCGGGCTCCGCGCGCCCGGCCGGCTCGCGGCTGCTCCCTGCAGGCCGCCTCGCCACCGCCCGCCCCCGCCCCCCGCCCCCTGCCGCGCCCCGGGACCCCCGCCAGCGGCCCGGCAGCCCCTCGGCCGCCCCTGCCCCGCCCCGCTCGGACTCGCCCTCCCCCGCCGGGCGGCTCCCGCAGGAGTGGGTACTTGGTGACATATTTTGGAAGAGATGTCATTAAAAAATAGCCTTTGCTTGCCGGGAGAATTGGGGGTTTTCGGGTTTGCACCATGGGGTGGGGGAGGAAGTACCGAGGAGCCGCCTGCACCTTACACATGAGGAGAAAGCCTAAACACCAAACGCTTGCAGGTGTAGAGTTTGTTTAGGAGTTCGGGTCCCTTCTCCGCCAGTAACTCACTGTGTGACCTTGACAAACCACCACTGCTGTCGGGGCAGAGCTTCCTCAAGCTTCAGCCGCGAAGGCTGGGCAGATCACCCCTGACGTCCTTTTAACTTCAATCATCCTGTGTTTTTAATCCTTGTGTGGGCTCAGTACCTCCCTCCCCTCTCATTTCTAACATCGATACCGATCCACTGCCTCCCCTTTCCAACATCACCCTTCTCCATATAGGCTCTTTCTATTCTCTGTCACCAGCCATTTCCCCAACAATCTGCTCCCTCTCCTCAGCTCGGGGAGGGGACAAGATTTGCCATACCCCCTCAATTCCTAGCTCCTGGGTGGTGGTATTTCCCCCCGTGTTTGTTCCCACCAAAATCCAAATGGTACCAGAGTCAATCTAAGGAAGCCGGTGGGCTGCATACAAATGGACCCCCTAACCCAACCCAAAGGAGAGGTTTCCACTGTGCCAGCCCCACCCCCAGCACACATACACACACACACAACACACACACACACGCATCTGCAATTCATGGACATAAAACCAACCCAGTGACGCCAGAGCCCCTTTCATCTCGGGATCTCCCAGTTCCAGGCCAAGCCCTAATTACCCCAGCACGCCCCTGGCCCCGCCGGTTCCCCTGCTGTCATTAGCCCAGTTTTACCAGTGGGGGCCACAGCCTTCCCACGGCTCTCAGGGTGGGGCCCTGCTACACAGTCTGCTCTTGGAGAGGGGTGTGTGTTTGTGTGTGAGCGTGTGTGTCAGGGGGAGCTGCTCAGCTCCTGGCCCAGGTTATACTGGATAGAATCACTTGCCGAGTGTGGGATCCTGACCCACAGCTTATCCAAGCTGGGCTGCCCTTGCTCATGTCTCAGTCTCAGCCTCCTGCATCCTCAGTGCTGTTGGAGCCACTTCTTTCACAGGGGATACTGGAGTTTGTAATGCTTGGCGGAGGGGAGGGTACCTCTCTGGGGGTCCCTGGAACCATGGAGATGAGAAAAGCAGCTGGGATGAAATCTATGGCATACAGAGTGCAGCGGTGGTGTTGAGGGCATGCCATAGGTGAAGGGAGCCTGTGAGGTGCAGTGGCAGCTAGAAGGGGGAGTTGAGGCAGCAGCGTGCAGAGTCTCCACGCGGTAAGCGAACCTGTGTTCAGTCTGGGCTCACGGGAGACAAGCAACAGCTGCAGTGTGGGGCAGGAGGCTGCAGCGTGCAGAGTCAGTGCAGTGAGCAGAATGAGGTGCACTGAGGGTGGCTGCCTGCCGGTGGGTGCCACCTCCTCGGTGATGAGGTTTGGCCGAAACCCTGGGGTGCACGGCTACAGTGTATAGTGCTTGGGGTCTGTGCTCTACCCTGTGTGGAACTAGTCCGTTGGGATTGGGCTGCTTAAGGAGCTGGGAGGGAATCCTGATGCATGAGATACATTTATACTCTGCGTCACAAAGACAGAACTAGGAGGCAGTGGGGAGGGCCAGCAGTCATGTGGATTGGGGCTGGAGTGATGGAGTCCAGAGGCGGAGGAGGAAGGTGCTGTGGTTTTGTCTCCCTTCCATCCTGGCTTTCCCCACCATATCTCTCTTTGATGCAAGGCCCTATAATATTGTGTGGGGAAGACTTTCTGAAATCCTAGATCCAAAGCCATATAAAATGATGTGCCTTCTGATTCCCTTTTTTTTTCCTGAAGGGCAGAGTAGGGCACTCAAAGACAAGGGTTTACCATTTCCATCTTCTCCCCCACTCCTTTTTTTTTTTTTTTTTGAAATGGAGTTTTTCTCTTGTTGCCCAGGCTGGAGTGCAATGCTGTGATCTTGGTTCACTGCAACCTTCGCCTCCCGGGTTAGGGCAATTCTCCCGCCTCAGCATCCCTGTAGCTGGGACTACAGGCATGTGCCACCATGCCAGCTAATTCTGTATTTTTTTTTAGTAGAGACAGGGTTTCTCCATGTTGGGGGCTGGTCTCGAACTACTGACCTCAGGTTATCCATCCGCCTTGGTCTCCCAAAGTGCTGGGATTACAAGTGTGAGCCACCATGCCCAGCCCCCATCTTCTCCTTTAAAAAATTTATTATTATTATTATTATTAGAGACAGAGTCTTCCTCTTTTGCCCAGGCTTGGGTGCAGTGGCACAGTCTTGGCTCACTGCAACCTCCGCCTCCTGAGTTCAAGGGATTTTCATTTCCCACCCTCCCAAGTAGCTAGGATTGTAGGCATGTGTTAGCATACCCAGCTAATTGGTTTTTATTTTTTTATTTTTTGGTAGAGAAGGTATTTCACCATGTTGGCCAGGCTGGTCTTGAACTCCTGGCCTCAAGTGATCCTCCTGCCTTGGCCTCCTAAAGTGCTGGGATTACAGGCGCGAGCCACCATGCCGGCCACCCCTATCTTCTCTTTACCTCTCTCTCTTTCCTGGGCTCCCATTATGTACTGGTGACAGATCTGGGCAGGACAAAGTGAAGGGCACACTGCCTTCAAAGCAGGCCTCTGCCCAGGTGCCAGGATCCAGCCCAGGTCTGGGCTTAGAACCCCTGTCCCTGTATTGCATCCTCTGTCTTCCCAGCCCACTCACCCTGCCCACCCATTTCTTGAAGCTGCTAGCTCTTCTTAGATTCAGTTCATCCTCGGCTCCGGCTCTGTCCTTGTCATGAAACCCCCCATCAGGGCTGTCCCCTCCCATTCTCCATCTCTGCTTCAGCGCATTCCCCGAATCTATCAGAAGGGTAGGGGTGGCATGAATAAGGATGGATAGACTCTCCAAGGGGATATGTCTGATGGCCCCTGCAGCTGAGATTTCCGTTGCCAAGGAGGTAGCAGAAACAGCCTGTTCTCTGGGCTCCCATCAGAACAGCCATGCCCAGGCCCCTCCCTTCCTTCCAGACTATTGCTAGGAAGCACCCCAAGATTTCTTGAGGATACGACCTCTAGGAAACAAGGTAACCAGATATCTTTCTGAAGAGGTTTTTTTTTCAAAGTCTGGCAGCTAAGACCCCACATAGCATCTTCTACCCCTGCCCAGAAGGCTTACACATCTCTAGCAGTTTGGGGAAACAGGAGACAGTCCCCTCTACCAGCCACCCTGGAACAAGCTCTGTGGCCTGGCCTCAGTAATTCCCCTCCTCTAGGTCAGCCTTGACCTCCTGGGCCTAGGTCAGCAAGTGATGGCACGTCCAGCATATACCTCTAGACTCTGCAGATAGAGCTGAACTTACTGGGGGTGCTCTGGAAAGACAGCAGAGGAAACTGAGGCTCCACCAGCTAAGAGAACTCAAAGCTCAGATGTTTCTCCCTCTGAGGGATTTCCCAATCAAGAAGAGTGGTGGAAATGGAGGAAAGAAAGTTGGAGAGCAGACTGGGCAAGGTGGCTCACATTACCAGTACTTTGGGAGGCTGAGGTGGTAGGATCTCTTCAGGTCAGGAGTTCAAGACCAGCCTGGGCAACATAATGAGACCCCCCCCATCTTAAAAAAAAAAAACTCACAAATGATCTGGGTGTGGTGGCGTGCACTGCACCTTCAGTCCTGGCTACTTGGGAGGCTGAGGCAGGTGAGAGATTGGGAAATTAGCAAATAATTACCCTGGTAAGAGAAAGTGACCATTTAATTTTCCCTTTTGTCCCATCAGGTGCCCTTGCTATGGGTCACAAAAGAGGGAGCCAGGGAAGAGACCAGGACTGGCTGAGCCTTGCTTTTGGTAGCTGAGGTAAGAAATGGAAAAAGAAGCTGACACCTTTTCCAGGCTGTCTTTCAGGGTTTCTCCTACCTTTATTCATTCATCTGACACTTTTTTTTAAAGCATTTAATACGTGCGAAGTATTAGATTCCCCAAATGCTCCCAGCTTCTGGTTTCACTTTGCCTTACAGTCTTCTCATCCCATCTTTGCCAGCAGGAGAGAGGAGAGGAGGGGGAGCAAGGAAGTCTCCCTTGCTATCAGAGTTTGGGGCTTACCTTTCTGCAGCTATCCCCCTCCAGTTAAAGGAGAGGATGGGGCAGTATGATATGGAAGCCAAAAGTAGAAAGTAGAGCAGCTCTCAGGGCCTGGAGGGAGGGGCGATACAAAGGAAATGGCAGGCTCACCTCGCTACTCAGCCACTGTCTGGTCCAGGCCTCAGGATCACAGGCCTCTCTTCTCTGTGCGAGGAATATGGAGAAGGAAGGCCATCCTTCCGGGTGTTAGAGGGGAAGCCACTCCAAGAGTTGATTCAAATTCTGCCTTTCACTCTCCAGGGGCAGTGGGAAGACAGAGACAGCACCTGTGGGGGACAGGCGCTGTGGGTGGAAGTGACACCCTGAGCTGAGTCCCTGAGGTGCAGCCACCTTGCAGCCTCTTTTCCATTACCCCCTCCCCCAGATAGATAGAAAGCAGGGATTTTGCTTTGGTGACTGGTATGGGGAGGAAACTGGTTTGGAGCCAGCTGTGTATGAGTGTGTGGGAGTGACTGTCTTTCTTTTCCCATCCACCTGCTGCCCATAGTGGGGGGACCCAGGCAAGCTTCCAGAGAAAAATGTTCCACTTCGGGAAAAGGAATGACTCAGTTTCCCTATGGAGAGAAGGGAGGCTGACACCCTCAGTGCCTTGTATGCTTACCAACGATTTCAATGTTTCTGGGTTTTTGGGTCTGGACTCTTGCCACTTTTCCTTATACTGTTTTCTAGCCTAGATAGATAAGGAATGTCCCCTTCCCCTTGGGTACCCAGAATCCTGTTTCTCGCTGCCTCTTACCTCACTCTGGCCTAGCTACTTTTCTGACACTTCTCCAGGTGTTGCCATGTCACTCTGACTGGTTGACTTCCACCTGCCCCTGTTCTCTCTCTAGCCAGGGTAGCCAACAAGATGAAGAAAGAGCTTGGGGCTCGGGGCTAGGACAGCAGAGGTGGAAGCTCAGCCCCTGTCCCTGTTGGGAGGGAATGAACAGCCAAAGAAAGTGGGGGAAGTAGGAAGGGGCTTTGAGATGGGCCGAGGGTTATTTGTTGTACACCCAAAGGAAATGTTAGCATCTCTCTTTTCACTCTTTGGAGGATTATCATGGGGTCCTGTGCTTGCAGTGAGCCAGACAGCTCAAGGGGGTCCCTAGGAAGATACTGTGGTATGGAAGGAAGAGGTGGTATAGGAAAGGCTGCCTCTGATGTTTACAGACTAGAGAGGCAGGAAGGTCAAAGTGGAGAAATTAAAAATGGTCCTTGCCCAGAGCTAAGGGAGTCCTTGTACATACGTCCAGCCTTCGGGGAAACCTTGCCAAGCCTAGAGAAAGGGCTGCTGGTGGGAGGTGGGGAGACAGAGAAGGCAGATGGCCTGACTACAAAAGCCGCCTCCCTGTCACTGCGAAGTGGGGAGGAGGTACCTCCCTAGAACGCTGCCAGGCTCTCTGCCTGAGGGAATGGTTTGAGCTCAGAATATCACCATCCTCAGGGCCCAAATAGTCCCCAGTCCTGTGTGGACTGGACCCTGCACCCACTAACTCAGCCAGGAGCAGTCACAGAGTTGACAGCTTCTCTCCAAGAGAGGCAGTTTGGGCTCTGAGGGATGGGGCAGGAGCTCCAGGATGATCCAGGAATGGCTCCAGGTGGGAGGGGGAGCCTCAGGCTGCACAAACAGACATGGAATGAGAGCAGGGGAGCAGGCGAAGGTAGAGTGAGGGCCTGGGAGAAGACAGGAAGTCAGATACGTGAAAGACTGAGGAGAAGCAGGGTTCGAGGCAGTCTCAAGTGTGAGTGGAGTAACGGGGGCCGTCTGGAAGGTGAAGGTGAGAAATCCATGTTGTCCCTTCTTCCTGCTTTAGAAGCTTTGGCAACACATGTTTGGCAGCTGTTTTGTATACACACTACACCCCAGTGATATCACTTGGGGAGGCACAAAGGGAGCTGAAGGGAGGGGTGTGGACTGAGTATATGGTGAGGGAGAAAGGCCATAGGCAATACCAACCACAGGGGACATGACCCGACCCTCCTTTAGCCACACTCTTCCCTTTGGAACAGAAGGCCTTGACTCCCTGTTTAGATCACGCTCTAGACACCCAGGGTGCTGTAATTCTCTGCCCAAATGACCACAGTTTTGCTTCCAGAGCCTTAGTGGGCTGCTCTCCCAGCTTTATCCTCCTGAGGACTGATTTTGCCACTCAAAGGGTGAGGAAAGAATGGCTGTCAGAGGCTAGGTGTGGTGGCTCACACCTGTAATAACAGCACTTTCAGAGGTGGATCACCTGAGGTCAGGAGTTTGAGACCAGCCTGGCCAACATGGTGAAACCCTGTCTAATAAAAATACAAAAATTAGCCAGGCGTGGTGAAACGCACCTGTAATTCTAACTACATGGGAGGCTGTGGCAGGAAAATCACTTGAAACTGGGAGGTGGAAATTGCAGTGAGCTGAGATTGCACCATTGCATTTCAGCCTGGGCAACAGAGCAAGACTCTGTCTCAAAAAATCAATCAATCAATCAATCAAATAAAGAATGGTTGCTGGGGAATACAGATTGAGCTTGAACTTGTCAACTACGATACTAGGATATCGGGCCTGGCTAAAGGCCTCCATGTTTATTTCTTTATTATTTTGTTAGAGCTAAGAGGCTCGTTATGTTGCCCAGGCTGGATTTGAACTCCTGAGCTCAAGTGATCCTCCTGCCTCAGCCTCTTGAGTAATATACTCTTATTTCTGGTTGTAAATATTAGGGATGACCCCAGTCCATAGTATGGGGAGGGATGAGGACTATGCATAAGGAGGCTCAGACACTGAACCCAGAGGTGGGTAACCTTTGCTTTTGGGTTTCTCACTGGGGGAAAGAAAGGCTATGCTCAAGGCCCTGGACATAATAATTTATATACGGACCTGTGGGACAAACAAGATTTAAACAACAACAAACTTAAAAGAAAATTGAGGAGAATTGCCTGAACCCAGGAGGTGGAGGTTGCGGTGAGCCGAGATCGTGCCATTGCACTCCAGCCTGGGTAACAAGAGCGAAACTCCGTCTCAAAAAAAAAAAAAAAAAAAGAAAGAAAGAAAATTGGGGCCCGGCACTGTGCTTTACGCCTGTAATCCCAGCCCTTTGGGAGACCAAATGGGCGGATCACTTGAGGTCAGGAGTTAGAGACCACCCTGATTAACATGGAAAAACCCTGTCTCTACTAAAAAAAAAAAACAAAAATTAGCCGGGCATGGTGGCGCATGCCTGTAATCCCAGCTACTTGGGAGACTGAGGCAGGAGAATCTCTTGAACCTGGGAGGCTGAGATCTCGCCATTGCACTTCAGCCTGGGGAACAAGAAACTCCATCTTAAAAAAAAAAAGTTTTTGATTTACAGGAAAAAAAACATGAAGGTGATAGAGGATCCCCCACATATTCTGCACCCAATTTTTCTTTGATTAACATCTTAGCATTAATATGATGCATTTGTAACAACTCATTAACTAATATTGGTACATTATTATTAACTGAAGTCCATGCTTTATTTAGATTTCCTTAGTTTTTATCCAGTATTCCTTTTCTCCTCCATGATCACATTCAGAAAACCACATTACATTTAATCATCAGGTCTCCTTAGCCCTCTTAGCTGTGACAGTTTCTCAGAATTCCTTTGATTTTGATCACCTTCACCTTAGTTTCCTCCTTACTTTCCCTTGTATTCATTAACTATGGAGTTCCCGGAGATTCTGGCAGGACTGTCAGACTCGGGGTGGTGATCTGTGTGCAACTAAGGCACGTCAGTGTCGCTTTTGAAATATAGGTATGGAAATGAGAATAACTCTGGTAGCCCCAGGGGCTTAGGAGAACAGAAAGAGGGCCAGAAAAAGAGAAAGATCGTATTGCTGAACGCAACACCCTTGCCCTCCACGCCACTCCCTTGTCCCCAGCCACACCCTTGCCGCACCTACTAACAAGGCTAACGAACGAAAGGGTGTCGGAATACGATGGAGAAGCCCGGTCGACAGTGACGACGTGGGCAACGTCGGGTTACGAGCGGCCTTTCGAGCTCGTCGAGTCTTTGAGTCTCTGTGGCGCCTCAGCTCCTGGATGTCCTCCCTTAACGGAGAGGAACAATGCGGGCCGACTAGCCTAGTCCCTTAGTTTCCTCGCCAGCGCAGACAAATACGGTTTCCGTCCAAGGAACTACAATTCCCAGAAGACAGCGGGGCGTTCCTTGCTGCATTTCTATTGGTTGGCATTTGTTACTCCCAGCCAATAGAAAGTGAACTTCTTGACAAGGGTCAAAATGGCGATGCCTAGGACCTAGAACTGGATTGTGTGGTAGGCTTAAATTTGGGGAGGTGGTGGATGAAAAGGAAATTGGGAGGTATAGTTACAACAGGGTTGGAGAAGGTGGAGTTAATGAGGGGACAAATCTAAACTTGGCGTGGTGGTGGCCGAGGGATGCATTTAGAGCTAAGGGCGTAATTAGGCAACCAGGACTGGCTTAACCCCTTGATGCCCTCCTCAGTCTTTCTATTAGTTCCTTTGATACTTTCTTCATTTATTTATTTTTGAGACGGAGTTTCACTCCTGTGCCCTGGCTGGAGTGCAATGGCGCGATCTCGGCTCACCGCAACCTCCGCCTCCGGGGTTCAAGTGATTCTCCTGCCTTAGCCTCCCGAGTAGCTGGGATTACAGACGTGCGCCGCCGAGGCCCGGCTAATTTTGTATTTTTAGTAGAAACGGGGTTTCTCCATGTTGGTCAGGCTGGTGTCGAACTCCCCATCTCAGGGGATCCACCCGCCTTGGCCTCTCAAAGTGCTGGAATTACAAGTGTGAGCCACTGCGCCTGTCCCAGATACTTTCTTCTTAGTGCCCCAGTTTAAGGAAGGGTGGTTTAGGGGGAGAGAGCCTGACAGGAGCTTGCCTTTACCTCTTTTTCTTTCAAATTCCTCTACTTCACTTAAATCTTCCGCATCTTCTCCTTTCTATTTAATTTTGCCTTCCCCTGTTCTCCTTAGAACTTCGTCTCTTTTTGTTTAGCTCCATTTCTCTCACCTCAAAGCCGGCCGCCACAGGCGCCAGAGTGAAATCATGAAGGTGGTGAACCTGAAGCAAGCCATTTTGCAAGCCTGGAAGGAGCGTTGGAGTGACTACCAGTGGGCAATCAACATGAAGAAATTCTTTCCCAAAGGAGCCACCTGGGACATTCTCAACCTGGCAGGTCTCAAGTGAACTGGGAAAAAAAGGATGGGAGGGATAAAGCCAGAGAAGTTGTAATCGCTCAGTCATTTTTGTTATTCCCCTTGCAGATGCATTATTGGAGCAGGCCATGATTGGACCATCTCCCAATCCTCTCATCTTGTCCTACCTGAAGTATGCCATTAGTTCCCAGGTAAGCTCCCTCCAAACTCCCACCAAGAAATGAGAGTTTTGGGGGTAAAAAACTTGGAGTGCGTTTGGTGCATTTGGGCCCTGGTGGTTCATGCCTGTAAACCCAGCATTATGAGAGGCCGAGGTGGGCAGATTGCTTGATCCCAGGAGTTTGAGACCAGCCTGGGTAACATGGCAAAGCCCAATCTCTACCCAAAAATATAAAAAGAGCCCTGTGTGGTGGCACCCCTGTAGTCCCAGCTACTTGGAAGGCTGAGGTGGGAGGATCACCTGAGCCCTGGGAGGTCAAAGCTGCAATGAGCCATGATCCTGCCGCTGCACTCCAGCCAGAGCAACAGGGTGAGACCCTGTCTCAGAAAACAAACAAAATTTAGAGTACAGTTGTGCAGTTGTCAGTCTACTCTTTCTGGATGAATTTGTTTGAATAGATCATTTCACTGAGTTTCAGTGATCTCATTAAAACAATAGTACTTTGGGCCGGGCGCGGTGGCTCACGCCTGTAATCCCAGCACTTTGGGAGGCCGAGGCGGGTGGATCACGAGGTCAAGAGATTGAGACCATCCTGGTCAACGTGGTGAAACCCCGTCTCTATTAAAAATACAAAAAATTAGCTGGGCATGGTGGCGTGCGCCTGTAATCCCAGCTACTCGGGAGGCTGAGATGGGAGAATTGCCCGAGCCCAGGAGGCAGAGGTTGCGGGGAGCCGAGATCGCACCATTGCACTCCAGCCTGGGTAACAAGAGCGAAACTCCGTCTAAAAAAAAAAAAATAGTACTTCATTTGTTATGATGAATATTACATTCATGTATTCTGCTAGGAGTGGTAGGAGGTAGCACAGGCCTGTGGCCCCACCTACTCAGAAGGCTGAGGTGGATGGATTGCTTGAGCCCAGGAGTTTGAGGCTGCAGTGAGCACTGATTGTGCCACTGAGCTCCAGCCTGGGCAACAGAACAAGACTCCATCTCTTAAAAGCAAGGACCAGGCGTGGTGGCTCACGCCTGTAATCCCAGCACTTTGGGAGGCTAAGGCAGGCAGATCACCTGAGATTAGGAGTTCAAGACTAGCCTGACCAATATGGAGAAACCCCATCTCTCCTAAAAATGCAAAATTAGCCAGATGTGGTGGCACATGCCTGTAATTCCAGCTACTCGGGAGGCTGAAGCAGGAGAATTGCTTGAACGCGGGAGGCAGAGGTTTCGATGAGCTGAGATCATGCCATTGCACTCCAGCCTGGACAACAAGAATGAAACTCTGTCTCAAAAAAAGAAAACAAAAAAACCCCACCACCAACAACAACCAAAAGAAAAAGGATTTCATTTACTTATTCTGTCAACAAATGTTCATGAATGCTTATACGTGCAAGACAGTTTTAGCCCCTGGGGACACAGCTGTGAACAAGACCTGATCCCAGTACACACAGAATTTAGTGGGTAATACAGACATGTAAATAAGCAGTCACTGGATGAGTTTATGATAAAGGTTAGGGTAGAGTACAGATGCTCCTCAGCTGACAGTGGGGTTATGTTCTGATATACCCCTCAGAAGTTGAAAATGTACTTAATATTACATAACTTACCAAAGGTCTTATATCTACCTTAAATGTACTCAGAACACTCTAGCTTACAGTTGGGAAAAATCATCTAACACAAAGCCCGTTTAATTTATTTTTATTTTTGTTTTTTGAGAAGCCTGCCACCCAGGCTCGAGTGCAGTGGCACAACCTCGGTTCACTGCAACCTCTGCCTCCTGGTTCAAGCAATTCTCCCTGCCTCAGCCTCCTGAGTAGCTGGAATTACAGGCACTGGTCACCATGCCTGGCAAATTTTTTTGTATATTTTAGTAGAGGCGAGGTTTCACCATATTGGCCAAGCTGGTCTTGAACTCCTGACCTCAGGTGATCTGCCTGCCTTGGTCTCCCAAATTGCTGGAGTTACGGGCATGAGCCACCATGCCCGGCCCACAAAGCCTATTTTATAATGAAGTGTTGAATATCTCATGTGATTTATTTATTTTTATTTTTTGAGACAGACTTTCACTCTGTCACCCAGACTGGAGTGCAGCCGCACAGTCACAGTGCACTGTAGCCTCCAACTCTCTGGTTCAGGTGATCCTCCCATCTCAGTCTCCTGAGTAGCTGAGACTACAGGCGTGTGCCCAGCCAATTTGTATATTTTTTGTATAGCCCGGGTTTTTCCATATTGCCCAGGCTGGTCTTGAACTCCTGGGCTCGAGCAATCTACCCTCCTTGGCCTCCCTTTGTGCTGGGATTGCAGGCATGAGCAGCCGTGCCTGGTCTCAGGTAATTTATTGGATATTGTACTGAAAATGAAAACAGAATTATTGTATGGCTATTTATTTTTGTATATTTAGTGGGGGTACAAGTACAGATTTCTTTTGTGTGTGTGTGTGTGACAGTCTTTATTGTTCAGGCTGGAGTGCAGTGATGTGCACTCCTTGGCTTACTGCAACCTCCGCCTCCTTGGTCAAGTGATTCTTGTGCCTCAGCCTCCTGAGTAGCTGGGACTACAGGCACCTGCCATCACACCCAGCTAATTTTTGTAT